CTAACTATCCATGGTTATTTTGTGTCCCTTATACTCTTGGTATAATATTTCTCACTCTGCTATGTGCTTATAGTTGTTTACCAATTTTCAGGAAACCGTGCAATTCAGAAATAGCTTTTTGGAAAGTCAGGTTGCGGAATAGACACACACAGTATTTTTATGATATTATTTATATGTAAACATCGGCCTTTTTGGTCAATATATTTTGTAATAAAAATAGAAGCTCTAATGGTTATTTTGGTACCTTTATTTAAATAATTCTTCCGCTCGCGTTATTTGATTTGTTTAAGAATTGGCCGTAGGTAACCTCAGTTACTGGCTATCACGATGCTTAACCCTTAGATACGGGAGCGGGCCTTGACAGTTATAATTCGTTGTAGTGTTGGTTATAATGTATTTATGACTTACTATAATTATTATTTTGGTTTAACCAGGGAATTTATTAGTTATATCGCGAAGGAAATTTCTACTCAATTAGTTTATCTTGGATCAACTCAAAATAATTTATGATTCAAAGAGACAATTTGAAATGAAGATTTTATATTTAAATTTTTTTTTTTGCAAAGTATATTATTTGAAGATTATTTATTTTTTCATTTTTAGATAAAAAATAATTAATTAAATAATTAATTTTTTTTTATATTTGAGGGTTTAATTGATTTTTGAGTTATAATTTGGGGGTAAAATGAAGTTCAATGCCACGTCAGCAAATTCTATCTTATTTTAGATGGCAACTGATGTTGGAGTGAAATTGATCCAAAATTGAATAGTTTAAATATAAAATTAATATAATTGAAAGTATAGGGGTTGAATTAATTTTTGTCCAGTTAAGTCCTTGACTTCGGTCTTAGGTTGAAAGTCAAGAAGTAGCTGCTCTCCTAGATGTACGCATAAGGATATAGAATAGAATAGAACAAGGTAATGTGCAAGTATCGAAAGAGCATGTGATTTGATCAAAAGATCAGAAAGAGCTCTCTTAGGCAAGCAATAGGGCTTTGGGGGATCCCTAACCAAGGTATCTCTTTTGGGTGCGGGGCTTGGTAGATCATAGAGAGAGTTTTCCCTTCCGAAGTCAACTCTTGTGATTGCGCCCCTCATCTATTAGTCTTACAATTTCTATCTTTCTCTTTCGGACTGTACTCTCGGTAATAGTTTGTGGGGTAAAATGATATTTTTTCCAAAAAAAGGTGTATCATATGTCCAGTTATGATTTATCGGCTGAATATAAAAACCAGCCGGTGGCCTCTAGCCACTGCCGGTGGTGTGTGGGGATGCCTCACAAGGCATTCCCTGCCCCTCCAAGGCAAAACACAAGTGTTTGGTGCAAAACCAGACACAAAACGGTCGAGTTCGGAGATCCTGAGGCAAGGCGCGTAGCCGAGACCTCCGGGAACTCCCAACGAACACAAACAAGGGTAATCACCAAGTGTTCCAATGGTGACGTCCAAATCTTGAGGACGGTCAAAAATGGGGTGTCTACACATGAATTTTTTGATTTTTTACCAAAATGATTTTTTCCCCCTTCCAATCCATATAATCAACATACAATAATGCTAGGAACATAGAGGCCACACATAGAATAACACACAAATATTTCACAAGCGGTGCGTCTCACATGTGAGCCCTATACATTGTGAGATATATGTGTCACATTTTATGTTTAGTATTCTGTGCACTTAGACTTATTAATTGACATATTATTATCAATATGTATATATATATATATTGAAACAATAATATCAATATATTAAAATTCTCTTTTATTTACAATTTGAGAAATTTAAATTAGTAGATTATTGAAAATAAACCACAGATATTGACAAGTGGGATTAAGTTCATAAGCTCTATTTAAAAAAAGAGGTTTTTAATTTAAAAAAAAAATCAAATTCAATAATCTTTTTTTTTTTAATTTTAAAAATTTACACTTCCAATATTTATCTTATTTTTTTATTTTTAGATGGGAATATTTATCTTTAATAAACTAATACAAAATACATATTTTTGAACTTTTTCAATATTTTTAACTTTTAAAATATGAAAAACAAAAAGCATAACCAAATAAACCCTAAACACCAACAAATTTCTAGTATCCAAAAGGACATGTCCAAACTTTAATTCACATATAAAAGATGTTCGAGATTCGCCAAAGACCAACGCAGTACCAACAAATTTCTAGTCCAAAAGGACATGTCCAAACTTTAATTCACATATAGAAGATGTTCGAGATTCGCCAAAAAACAAGTGTGGATAGAACTACATACATTTTGAGAAAAGTTGATGAAGCCCACTTTGATAAAGAAGTATTTAAGAAAAAGTTGATGAAACCTTAGCCACTACGGATAACCTACAACTTATATGTATATATAGGTTTTGACGTGGGCGTTTTCAACATCGTATCAAGATGATGTCATATGATATATGTAAGCAAAATGAAAAACTAGAATCATTATTTGTTTTTAGAAAATGATTCCTCCCTTATTGATATATTTTTATATACTTTGTATATTGCTTTTCATCAATAAAGTTTTTCTTTATTTATTGATCTAAAAAAAAAATCTAAAAAATTCACAATCCGACCTGCTTTAGTCAAATCTGGTAGGTTTAAATTGATTTTTGAATATGTGGTCCGGTTTTTGTTTGAAAAATTAAAGAATCGGTGTCTATGGATTGGTTTGTTGGACAATCTTCACTGTATTTAAAAAGATTTAATTCTATTGTGTACACAACAACAAATAGAATTTAAAGAAATAAAGAAAAGGAGAGAAATTGTTTGATTACAAAAATCAAACTCGAAATCGAACCGGACTGTATATAACTTAAACCATATACATACTATACACCTTATTGTTATTCTTTTTTTCTTTTTTTTTAATCAGCAAAAGGAAAATCTTTATTGATAAAAACAATCAATAAAAGGGAGAAAGTGTACAAAACATCACAGTAAAACTTCAAGATCCCAATTAGATTGGCACAGGAAGAATGTGCAATCAATTGTTAGCACAAGCCTCAAAATTGGTGAGAACCAAAAAAAAATATATATATATATATACATATATAAAAACAGCAGCAAACTCAATGGAATAAAAACACCACCACCACCAATCAGCCCAACCACCAAACTCAATGTTCCTCAAGCTCTGCTCCTCATTCTTAAACCAGCAACAGTCAGATGCAACCCCTTATCTGTCTCAGGTTGTGCACAAAATCATTGACTGAGTAATGAAATCCTGGGATTGAAGTTTTAAGCCGTAATGCTATTCTAATCTTGACAAGCTCACAAAAATTATATCCCCTAGACTGAGCCCCATTGAAGACGTACTCATTTCTAAGCTTCCAGAGAGACCAAAGTACAACTAAGGGAACAACCCTCCACAACCACTTTTCCTTCTTCTGGAAATTTCTACCAGACCACCAATGGAATAGACCCTCAACAATTTTAGGTATTGCCCACTCAACTCCCCACCACTGCATCATTTTGGACCAAACACACCAGGAGAAAGGGCAATGGAGCAATAAATGAGCAAATGATTTAGGGGTTGTTTGGGGTGTTCTAAATAAGTGCACTTTTTGTTTTTTTGAACTAAAAAATTGAGGAAGAAAATATGGATGTTTGGGTTAACTTTTTGACTTTTTATGAAAAAATGTATAATAAAAAATTGTAAAAATTGATTTGTAAGGAAAAATTAGGATTGAGAGTTGTGCAACCGTAATTGTTGACTTTTGGTGAATAGCGTTAACTTTTTAACTTTTTGACTTTTTTGCAATATGCCAAACTTGGCCTTAGGTTCATTCTTGCAAAACACATACACAGTAGCTGCATTGCTATTCAGAACATCAATTATGTGCAGAAACACAGATGTCTTGACTCTTTCTTTCCAAGCCAACCAACCAAAAAATTGTACCTTAGGGGGGATATCCTTATTATACACAAATTTGCAAACTTTGATCTGTGGACCAAGCAATTTGTCACAAAATTTATACAAATCAGCCACCTTAAACCCTCTTACAATTACATCATTCCAGGTAGGACAATCTGTACACCCCTGTCTCAGATTTGGAGCAGAGTACAAAGTGATATCCAATCTGGAAGCCTCAATCGTTTCCCACTCATACAGAGGTCTTCTGAGAAACAACTCCCATTCTTCAGAGTTTGATTTCCCTTCATAGAATCTGAAAAGTGAGCCCTCCTTGTTAGTTGATAATCTAAACAACCTTGGAAACTCCACTTTTAGTCAAATATTTCTGCAACAGGAATATTGTTGTTCTTGCTGCTATTCCTGTTGCTTTTTTTAATTATTTAATTTTAGTTTTGTAATTGTTGGCACGACAAAATGTTTGTTTGATAGAAGTTTTATGTTTGCTATATGTTAAACAATATGTTTATTTACTTAAATATTAAGGCAAATTAATGTTGAATAATTTATGATAGATTGAATTTTAAAAAAAAAATATTATATGATTTTGCTTGTGAAAAGATTATGTGAAACCGTGGTTCCAAAACCGAGTCAAACCGTGTTTAGTTTGGTTCGGATTGGTTTCCTGATTTAAATAGATCAGTTTGGTTTCAATTTTTATAGAACTGCAAATTACGGATCGATCCTAGTTTTACCTCAAATCGAACAAATTTGAACCATGCTCACTCCTAATTCTAATGTTTTCTCAAAACTCTCCTTACATATATTTTGTTTTGCCACCTCATTAGAGGGATTGTAGGCGAAAGAAATTATATGAACATAGTACTGTTCAACTTGTTTGGTTCTGATTTTCAGAAAATAATTTCCAGAAAATTCTACTTTTTTATTTTCCGTATGTTAATGTTTTCAATGAATTTTTTTAATATTTTAAGCAATTTTTTTTTTAAATTTGTAGACACACCTAACATAAATACACTTAAAAAGTATAATATTTGTGAAAAAATCTTTAAAAAATACACTAAATACCAAAAAATACAAAATTTCAGTACATTTTCTAAATTTTTGTGTATTTTTTAATTTTTTTAAATATTTTACTATTTAGATATATCTAAAAAAGTAAAAAAAAAATTAAATTTTAAAAATATTCACTAAAAATAAAAAGACACGGAAAAAAAAAATCAATTTTCAAAAACTGAAACCAAACACGCTAGTTGTTATTTTTATCATCTTATTTTACTTTATAACGTGTAAGTATAATTGTCAGCATTTCATTTGAGTATACTATCAAATATTGTGTAAACAAGCAAGTTTGTAAGCTTAATATTCTTACATGCAATAAAGAATACAAAAAGTCTGGGATTTAGATTTTTACAATTAAAGTGTGTGATATAGATTGAATGAGTGTATTGTAGGATCTATATGTAAAATGAATCTGAATTACACACCAATATCTTTTGGTAATTTTTTAGATTTGTAGTATTACCTTAAAGAATAAATGGTCTTGTTAATATGTATTTGTGTGGCACAAGAAAAAACAGCAAAAAAAAAAAAAAAAAAAGAATTACACAAGGTAGTTTTTATTAATTTCAAATTTCTTTCATTGATTTCAATTTTTTTTTAATCTTTCACTATTTTCAAAATAATTTTTACACAAATTTCAGTACTGATTAAACTCCTACAGTAGGGGTATTTATTAGCATTTTCCAAATACATAAACTAAACGAAGATTGAAATACGTAATTAAGAACCACTTTTGAAAAATATTAGTCATCTATATACGTTCTACTTGTGATTTTGAGATTGATTTTTTTGTTTTTGGACTTATTCTTCAAAATGTGATAAAAAATTTTATTATTTTAATCAATATAGGGGAGTGTTTTATTCATGCAACAAAATGGAAGCTTAATTATAACCATAAGGGCAGATTATATTGACATTCTCCAAGTAATGAAGAAATTATATTTTTGATAAAATCATATTAACTTCTCTTACAATAACGATAATTTTAACAATATTAATGGTCATAAAATTGTTATTTTACCATGAAATATTTTTATTTAAATTTATATATATTGATATCAAACGATACAGTGACCCTCTTTCTTACCTAATGAATTTTCTTAATTCTCTTATTTTTCCCACTGGGGTCTTGTACAAATAGAAAATCGGAGATTGAAAAGTAATGTTTAAACATATGTGTTAAATATGTGGTAAATATAGTAAGCTGAACTCTTGGTATTCTTTGCCTTACCGGCAGGCGGCATAACCTTGGCTTGGCCATCCGTTGTACCTCAACTCATTCCGTTGTCATATTTTTCTTTCAGTATCGTTTCGTGGTAATCTCTTCCTCTGTCTGTTGGTTTATTCCTACACAAATATCTCTATCATATTTTTTTTTTTACTCGCAATCTTTTTTTTTTGTGTGTTTCTGCTCCACTATGTTTTCCCTCTAATTCAACTTCAAATAAATTTCTATCTTCAAACCTATTTGAGTTTGAGGGGGGGTATTATACCTATATCATGATGAGCATGGTGATATACCACCCCTCTGGCGCACAACCCAAGCCACCTCCTCTAGCGCACCATCCAAGCCCTCTTTGGCGTACTACTTAGTCACCATCTCTAGGAGGAGGTCCAGGTATCTCCTGAAATACATCTTCAAACTCACGCACCACCTCTACCTCACTAATATCCTGCTTAGAAATTTCTACCAACACAGAAAACTCGTCATCACCGACTCTTCTCCATCGCTAGAAGTGTGGGTAAGCTGTGGCATACTGGGAATATCTATATTTACAATCCTTCCAGCACAATCTAGAGTTACAAAGTATTTTCGCAGCCAATCCATACCCAAAATAATTGTGAACCCTTTAAACCCTAACACAATTAGGTCTGCATACAAGACTTTGCCCTCAAAGTCAATCTCAAAATCTTTACACATCTGATAAAGAGTAGCTACCCCTCCTAAAGGGGTCTCAACACGAATAGGTCTAGACAAGGAGGTAGTTACAATATGTTCTTTTTCTACAAACTGCCTAGATATGAAAGAATGAGAGATACCAGTATTAAAAAGTACTCCAATGGGTTCTTGGAAAAAGATTAAACATACCTTCCAGCCATCACTTTTAAGTTAAACACACAAAAAGAATTCGTTCATAAACACTTAAAATAAATTCTACCACCAAACTAAACCAGCTAACCCATGTTTCCACAATCCAAGAATCACCTAAACTCTCACAAGTCTAGGGTAACCTAGAGCTCTGATACCAAACTGTCACGCCCCAAAATTCGGACAATTTAAATATTAAATTAGGAGTAAACCCCAATAACATTCCATCATCCAAATATTAGGGGTGAAACAAAAACTAAAGGCCAACCAAAACATCCACCATAATTCCATAACTAACCAATACCTCAACATTAAAGTAACAATAACTTAAATAATGTACGGTTACAAACCATTCTAAATTATTCCAATACTAAAGTCATACAGAGAATAATAAATACACAAACTAATATCAATCCTAAGCTCAACAAAACAAAAGAAGTCCAAACAACAGGTCCAATACTATCATAAATCCACGTCACCACCGTAGCCCCAACTAATCCTACAAAGGAAGCTCAGCTGCGCTCAAACAGAACGCACCCGAGTTGCCAAAAGACAAAACGAGTCAGTATACAGGTATATTGGTATGAGTATAATATTTAACACCCACGTGTCCACCAGACACAGACAAAAATACATTTAATTCTTATCACAAGACAAAACAAGTAGTTCCAACCGCACCGAGACGAATGGGTAGTTTCCCGAGATACGGTGGCATTTAGTTTCTTGTCCGTATACAACGAAATATAAATTTATTAAAAAAATAGATAAAATAGAAATAAAAATATGGTGGGTCAGCCCTGCATAAAAAGTCAGTAAGACCCACCATCCTACAAAACAAATAACGTTAGTATAATTTAATCATAAGTAACTTGTTGAACAAAATATAAAATTACATCGTTTCATACTTAAATAATTCGAGTTGATCAAAACTCAAAGAACGAAAGTTGTACAGAATCAAATTTCCTAAAAAACATTGCCAACGAATTTAACAGAAACTGAACAGGTTAAGAGAAAAACTTGATATAAAAATCTAGACAGAATTCAATAGAAAAATCTGAAGCTAAAAATGAACAAAACTGCCCTTAGATGATTTTTTTCAAAAAAGTTCAAAACACGAAAAGTGTGCAGAATAATGTTTTACTTCAGTTTACGCGAAACCAATAAAAATGAGCTCGTTTCGTGGGTTAAAACAGCCTCTAAAATCTGCATTAGCAAAATGAATCAAACCGACAATAACCAAGATTATCCGATTATAAGTTCTAATCGATCTTTTTAATAAAAAACTACAATACAAAAGTTGTCCAAAAATCATGTATACATGCCTCTCCTCAAATTTCATAATTTATCAAGGTCGTTTACTATTTTTTTTATCATGTTCATATCAGTACCATTCACACTATACTAATAAATTCATAATTAAATTCTTTGTTCATTAACTTCACCACTTCGGCCCTCCCCTTCCGGCCTACACATATATCCCATGTGCCTCCCGTATACCTAACACTACTCTGAGGCCAAACTTGCATGGGGATATCGTCCCGAGTTTGACTCACTCCCCGGATGGTTAGCATATACGTACGCGCGCAAATCAAAGCACTCGTCTACTCATGAGAACGAGGCAACAATATATATACACAACATCTCACACATGAGAATAAACATAGCAATGCCGAGCCTAAGGCATTCAAATAAATCTCATAATCCTCACTTTTTTTATATACTCTTTCTCACCATCACTCAAATAAAACAATAATCCATGGAGTCATGGTGGAGTATAAGCAATATATCTATAGGTTCTTAATTAATTTTAGTTTCATATGACCATGAGTGTATTTACAACCATAAAATAAATCCATATAAAAATCCTAAACATGACATAAACAACTAATCAAAATAATTAAAATCAATCTATCATCTACATGCAAATACAAAACCAATCCAACATCAAATAAAAATAAATAAATAAAAACAACGAATCAATCCATCCTCTAACCAATATCTATGAATTCTAAGTTTATTTTAATTTTATATAATCATGAGTGTGATTACAATCATAAAATCAATCCATATAGAAACCCTAAACCTTGCATATACAACTAATCAAAATAATTAAAATCAATCAATCATCGAAAAACCCTAAACCTTAC